GACAAGGATATCACCAATGTTGGGCAATGACTCCAAGGTCATAGTATAGCAATCAATGTTCATAGACAAATACTCATTTTGCATGCCATGCAGCAATGCAACATCGAACGTAATAGAAAAACACTCTCTTTATGCTTTATGAGATTCAGTGCAAGACCAAATTTGCAAAGGTGTGTTCAGCTCAGACTGGCATTTCATCTTTAATACATTCACTAGCTCTACTAGATAGCAGAACAACAGCCAGTGGGCTCTCCGTTAGTCCTAATACTACCAACTCAGTTCTAGTCATCCATGCATGCAGCTTCCCATCTTTGTCTGCTGCAACATAAACCTCTCTAGAGCTTATCCATGAGGCACCCACGATAATGGACTAAAATAAAACCTGAGTATAGAGCCTTCCACAAGCAAATTACGATGATTACCCTTAAACTGTTGAATGATTTAACTGAATATCAAAAAAGCTCTATCCTGAGTTTCGCTGCAACACAAGCTTCTCTAGGGAGCATCTAACACCTAATTGTAAGGCTTTTTATCAAAAACCTCTAATCTTTGATTAAATATAGTAACTGTCTTGGCCATGTAATGAAGTATCACATGCAAAAATGATTAAAAAAAAAAAAAAAAAAAAGATTTCCCTAGACAACTATCTTCTTAATTCTTGATAAAATCTTAATCTCCAAAGAAACAATACCCGTTCTCAACAATCAATTTCACAAGCATTCATCATATCAATTAAGCAACGGAAATGCACCAATCAACTGACTGAAATCATAGAAATGATGAGAATATATACAAGATTTGAATCATAAACAGATTTAAAGCAAATAAATAATATATATCCAGTATGTACATTGAGCTATGTAATAAAACATGCGAGCAGAGAATCCATAGTACCCCATAAATCAAAGAAACGAGGCTGAAACGTCAGCAAATTGAGGCCAATCTAATTGGAACCTTTTCTCTATCAGCATCTTCAATACCAGCAGGCACGGTCCTGGCCAACTTCTTGAACGCAAAATGCACGCAATTCGACAAGGCAATCCAACAAATCACCTCATAAATAAAAGACAAGGCCGGAGCAGACCACGGAGGCGGAGACGAAGAGTCATCCCAATCATGCCCTCCAAATCTATTGAAATTCCACCCCTTGCCACCGCCACCGCCACCGCCACCGCTTCCACCCCCAAACGTACCGTATCCATCATCACCAAAGAATCCATAATCCTCAACTTCATCGGAATCATCGGAGCTGATCGTCCTTCGCCTTATTCTTCGTTTTCTCCAAAGAATAGTGCGTGTCGTGGTCTTGTAATTGGATTTAACGGTGGGAGGAGCAAAGGCGTAGGCCGGAAGAAAAGCTGCGGTTATCTGGACAAGCTCGGAAGTCTCCGTCAAAGAATCCGAGCACAAAGCAAGGAAATTGTTGCAGGTGAAGCTGTGAGGGCGATGCAAATAGAATTTCGCAAAACACCCTAAATCTTGAACGGCGGCCACCGTCCGGGAATCGCCGATGGCATAGATTTCCATTCTGGTTGAAGAATTCCCGGAAAAAATTCGAAATTGCTAAATCTAAGAGGGGAATTAGAAGAAGGTTTTAGGTCAAAAGGACGGGATTGGGAAATTTTCCCGGGCTAAATAGTAGAAAATATAAAAATAAATAAAAATAACATACGAGACGTCGCATTGCCACGTGGCAAGTTGAGGTTCAGCCGGCGGTACTGTTAAGACAATTGGTGACGGGCCGAGTCCAAATCCAGATGAGATTTGGATAAGGCCGAAATCATTTTATTTATAAGCCCACCATGAAATTTTACAGCAAGCCCATGGAAAACTAGGACGTAGCCAAACCCAGATCCACAAATTCACTCAAAAACCCTAACCCTTCAGCGTCATTTTCCCTACATGCTATAAGAGCCGCCACCAGTGTCTTCCAGAAAAACCCTTAGCTTGCACCAGAGGCGGAGAGAGAGAGCTGAGAAGGTGAACGATGGTGTCGTTGAAGCTCCAGAAGCGTCTTGCCGCCAGCGTCCTCAAGTGCGGGAAAGGCAAGGTTTGGCTCGATCCCAATGAGGTTAATGAAATCTCCATGGCCAACTCCAGTGAGTTCCTCTCTTGGCTTTCTGCCTATTCCATTTTTTTCTGTAAAATGTTATTTGAACATATGTATTTGAGATTTGTGGATTGTGTATAGATTTTCTTTCGTTCGTGCTCGAGATCTATTTTATAGGTTCTGATCTGGTAGTTAGGGTTTTGTTTGCAAGGAAGTTTTGTTTGGTTTCTGAGAAAAGCAATAGGAAAATCAAGTTTAGTTTCGTGATATTATTTACATAAACTGTAGCTTGAATTCTTGTTTGGACGCTGGACTTTATGTACGATGGCAATGTTGATTTTAGGTAGAAATTGGCTGTGGTTAATATTTATATTTTGTTTTTCAAGTTGCTTCCTCCGTGTTTTCTAAGAATTGGGGGGTGTTTTTTGTTTTTAATTTTCAGCTTGTCTGTTATTTGTTTGCAGGGCAGAACATTAGGAAACTGGTGAAGGATGGTTTTGTCATTAGGAAGCCCACCAAGATTCACTCCCGTGCTCGTGCACGAAGAATGAAGGAGGCCAAGAGAAAGGGTCGCCACTCTGGTTATGGTATGGTATATTTGGAGTTTTCCATTACTGTGTTTCCTTTGATGCGTTTTTTCTTTGCATTTGTGGATTTTTTATCTTCTATTTATCATTTGTAGACATTCAACATGGTTTTAAATGATTTCAGGTAAGAGGAAGGGTACCAGGGAAGCAAGGTTGCCAACAAAAATACTGTGGATGAGGAGAATGCGTGTACTGAGGCGCTTGCTTCGTAAATACAGGGAGTCCAAGAAGATTGACAAGCACATGTACCATGACATGTACATGAAGGTGAAGGGTAACGTATTCAAGAACAAGCGTGTCTTGATGGAAAGCATCCATAAGTCCAAGGCTGAGAAGGCAAGAGAAAAGACACTGTCTGACCAATTTGAGGCCAAACGTGCTAAGAACAAGGCAAGCAGGGAGAGAAAGTTGGCAAGGAGAGAGGAGCGCTTGGCACAGGTAATTGAAGTCTTATTTAATATTTTATTCTTTTTGTTATTGCAATTTCTCTTTTCATGTGACTTCTGCATTTGGTATAAGTTGCAATCTGATTCAAAGATCCTTGTTATTTTAACATAGCTGCTTTGATGCAAAATGACATAGTGCTGTTGCATTCACTTTACAATGAAAACGAACTCTGGACATGTTTAAGATAAAAGATATGAGTATTCTTTGTCTCTGCTTTTGTTGAGGGTGGCAGTCCCCTCTCCATTTTAGTTTCATTAGATTTTAGGGATAAGTTGATATGTTGGAGAAGCACTTAATTTACAATGTGCTCTAAGGAATGAATAAGGATCAAATGGTGTAAAGCTGCAATAAATTGGTTAGGCCAATACCTGTTTGAAGGGAAAGTCTTAGTTTCACATATTATTTCTGAGGGATGATGCCCTTACTAATTATGACGTTGCTAGGTTTCTGTTTCCCCAAACATGTTATACTCTGCAAGATCTGTTGGTTGTGTTAGAGAATTGTATATAAGCCATTCTCTGAATTTCTCTGTTTTTTGTTAATGTAATTGCCTATATTCTGAGTTTTGTGTTTATAATGTTCAGGGACCTGGAGAGAAGGCAGTGGCAGCACCAGCACCAGCACCTGCACCTGCACCTCAACAGGCTGAGTAAGTTGTACTTAACTGTTATTCCATCGTCTACTACAGACATATACTGATATGCGTAATTGAGTCTAATTTTGCCTTGTTTTACTTTTTGCAGAGGTGCTAAGAAATCCAAGAAGTGAAGTGGAAGTAACCAATGGACCTAAAATGTTAATGTTTCTTGTTTTCTTAAGAGTTTTTGTTCCCAGCAGTGGTCTGTTTACATTTGTTAAAATTTTTAATTACTATCAATTATCGAATTTTGGAACGCCTAAAGCTGTTTTGCGTTGTTTCATTGTTGAATTATTTGACACTGAATACGGCTGGTAAAACCTACCTGATGTGTTGACAGTTAGGTGTTCCATTTCTGTTAGGGCTTTCGTTCATGCCCTTTTGATTTTAATTTGTTGTAGCGAACTTGTTTCTTTCTTTTGTTTCTAGTCAAACCCTCATCTAAACAATAACAAAATGGATTACTTAAATTGTAAGGCAGGCATCGTCTGTGTTGTGATGTAATAATAGGTTTTTTTTTTTTTTTTTTTTTTTTTACTTTTAAAAATATATTTTTTATGGGGAATTGTTTTTATTTTTATTTTAGGTTAACTAAAATAATATTGATAAACTTTTTGATTTTTCCTACTTTTTTTTTTTTTGTAGCATTTTTTCATATATAGAATTATGAAATTATCCCCAACTTAATACACAGCATTTACATTACCTTTCTTTGGCCTTCGTAAGGCATGTGCAGATCATATACAGATTAATAAGAATCACTTCATTTTTCATCATGATCCCAGTCTAAATAAAAATTTCTTTTGCATTTCTAAATTCCAATACCATTTCTGGTTCTAGAAAACTGTAAAATCAATCCGAGCATAGATCAGTATTTCCCTAATATTTCCTTGAAGGAAGCAACTCCTAGTTTTACCAAGTACTGCAAATCAGTATGAGGCACAAAATGTGTCTGTGTCGACGAGTAGTTAGCTCATGTCCCAGATGCCTTCTTCAAAGCTATCTACTAAAATTCCAAAATATTTCCTATCCATACTTCTAATCAAAAACAGAAAGGGGAGAATATGAGATTGAAGAATATACCTCTTTCCCCCTTTTTTACCTTTTTTAATGGCTGAATTAAGGTCCTGGGACCAGATTTAATGAAAAAAATTTTTTTTTTCCAAAGTAATAAAACTGAAGATGGTAGACCAAAACACTAAAACCAATCCATGAATTCTTCTTCTTCTACTTCTCTTTTTTTTTTTCCCTTAATAAATGGGAATAATAGCGTTCATAAGATGGTTAAATTGTGAAGACTAGATTTAATGAAGGGATTTATTTCTAAGAGTTAAGTAGATAAACTGAAGTTTCCTTTAAAAAGTTACACTTTGAAAGAAACTGCACCAAAGATGTAGCTAAACATTTTTCAGCTAATAAATACCGTAGGTAACTGCTTCAAAGTCACTAACTGCGCCAGATAGTTAAGAAGACATATAGTTTCTAGTTTAGCAAAGGCAGCTGATCCAGGAGCAATGGCGTTCAGCATGGGAAATATAGTAGTTTATATAGCATTGTTTCACCTGAGTATTGTGATAGCAGAAATTCCTACACGCCAACTCTTTGGTTCACCAAACGTGGCTCCAGACCCCAAAGCTGATTCACCTGCACTGCCTAATATTCCACCTGCTAGATTACCTAAACCATGCCAGGCTACAGAACCTGAAGCTGGTTCACCTGCACTGCCTCCCATTCCACCAGCCAATTCTCCCAATGAGGAATCAAGGGGCAGAGTTTTTGATGTTACTGAGTATGGTGCAGTGGCTGATGGAGAGAAAGAGAGTAGCTCGGTATATTTTTTGCATTCTTTGAACATTACTTGCATCTGAAGCAAGGTTCTCTGACTTACTTCAATTTCTTTTTGGCTTAGGCTTTTTTAGCAGCATGGAAAGCTGCCTGCAATTATGCTGGAAATGCTACTTTCTTAATACCTGAGGGGATATTTCTCCTTGGACCAATCTCGTTTGACGGCCCTTGCTTGAACAACTTGTCACCAAACATTGAGATAAGAGGGACTCTGTTGGCTCCAGGATCCCTTGATGCCTTTCCCTCTTCTGCCTGGATAGCATTTAGAAACCTGTATGGATTCAATCTCACTGGATCAGGAACTGGGAAAGCCAGGATAGACGGAAAGGGAGAAGTAGAAGCCTGGAAACGATCCAGCTGCGAGAAATCAATGAATTGTAACAGATTAGTTGCAGTAAGTTCCAAGCCAGTCCAAACTCAATAATTTGTTCCTGTTTGAGATAATTGACCTATGCATCCCTTGATTCTGCAGTCACTATATTTCTTCGAAGTTTCACATGCTACCATCAGTAACATCACCCTCGCAAACAGCAAGGGCTTCCATTTAAATATTTATGTCAGCGACAACATTGATGTCTACAATGTAAACATTTCTGCTCCTCCTGATAGCCCTAACACAGATGGAGTCCATATCGGTGAATCCTCTAACATAACCATTGCGTCTTCAACAATTGGCGTAGGAGATGATTGTGTCTCCATTGGACCTGGCAGCATCAACATTTCTGTTTCTGGTATCCAATGTGGCCCAGGCCACGGCATCAGGTACCTTAACTATCAGTTTAAGCTCTTAGATTGAACAGTTTCAGTATTGTTCACAGAATTACTTACCTCTCATAATAATGGCAGCATTGGCAGCCTAGGAAAATATAAAAATGAGAAGGATGTCATTGGGATCAAAATCGAGAACTGCACAATCAATGGCACCCAGAATGGTGTCAGGGTGAAAACTTGGCCTGGATCTCCACCAGGCAGGGCCTCCAATATTACATTCCAGGACATTTCCATGATCAATGTCTCAAACCCGATAATCATAGACCAAGATTACTGCCCTTCAAGCTCCTGCAACAAATCCAAGGTAAGAAATCAAGAATGCATTGAATTCTGGACCCAAAATAAATGTAAAATTGATGAATTTTATCATTGTACATGAACAGCCTTCCATGGTGAAGTTAACCGACATTCTGATAAAGAACATTACGGGCACATACAACACCAAGTCTGCAGTGTCATTACTGTGCAGCTCCGGGGTACCATGCCAGAACATTCATCTTGTGGACATTAAACTGAACTATACAGGACCCGAACTGGGGAGATTAGCACTAGGCCACCTAAGCACGAGGGGTAATGTTAAAGGCTTAAAAATATCGAACTCCAAGTTTTAGGTGAAGTTAGTGTAGGAGTGGATAGGTCACCTAACTTATAATTTTCTTTCTTAGGGCAAGATAATAAGGTATTGAAGATTAACTCCTACTATTTTTCGTCATGTATTCCTCCTTTTAATAAGAGTGAAGAGATTTGGGGATTTTATTCTGTACAAGTTTCAGTGCAACAATTTACTATCTTTTAGTATCTT